AATCATTTTTTTGTCTTTTAACTTATATAGCTCTAATCAGAGTTCAAAATGTCGAGAGACATGTCGACATGCTCGATATGGACATAGGAGAGAAAAGTTAATTTTCCCCACATGTCGTCGACATGCCGACAAAATATCGACAAAATGTCGACATGTCAACTCAAATGTCGACATGTTTTTTTTTCCTCTTCTTCTTTTAAGGTTATTTTATTTTCATCATTTTCCTACTATGCCACTACCGTCTATAATTTCTCACAACCTCAATGATTGTAATCTTAGTCTGTTCAATGAAACACTCGCATTTTAATATTGTATAAAGTATAACTAATAAATTTGCTTTGTTGATAATTTTTAATCCAATCTAGTCCTTAGTTACAGAATTGAACAATATATGTAAAATATTGACATAAATAAAGATTGAAATAATATTAGAATTTTTAAAAAATAAAATATTATTATATACAAATAGTGGTTAAACATGAAGTAGAATAGGTAACTTAATTAATACCAAATAGATGATCTCGTGCACTATTTTGATAACTTTGATATAAATTACAATAGTTCTCCTAAGTCATCATAGACTGGAAGTTTTGAAGGTAGTTGTCAAATGAGTAGAATATGAAGCACATATGGATCCCATTGGTAGATAATTTGGATGAATTACATAATCACGTTGAGGTGTTTGAAAATTGTGTAAATTTGATTGGAAAGTTGGATTGATGATTGATTTGAAAATGTGTTTGAAAAATGTGTAAATTCAAATTGGAAAAGAGAAGTAGGTAAAAAGTACGAGTTAATTAGAACTTAGAAATGTGTTTGGAAACCAGATCGATAATTATCTCATTTCCAAATGAATCCTATTATGAAAAATACAAGTAGTCAAAAATTTACAATTAAAGTTCTTTACATACTCAAATAATTTCCATCAATCTTCATTAAAGAAAAAATCTTTTTTCGATATTTCCATCGACATTGACATTTTCATAAGTAAAATGGTCATATTCTTACACTTAATGGTTAAAGGTGATCAATTATAAGCTAATTAAGCTACAATTCAAATTTTATTTGCTAATTCAAAAAATTTCCATAAATTTCCATTACTTTTCTCGAAATATCTATCGACATCGATATGTCCGTAAAATCGGGACCTCGACATTTTCATCGACATCAACATTTTGAACACTGGTTCTAATATATGAGTGTGTTAAATTAAATACACATATTTCAAGATAATTATTTTTTGTTTAATGATTAAAATTGACATTTTATAATTTTAAGGGCTCAAATGAAGTAGACATGAAATTCAGGGACTATACTAAAATAATCTTAAATTTTCAAGGACCAGAATGAGATATAAACGGGAGGATTCAATCATATATTGATCAAATTTTAAATTTTTAAATAATTAAAGCGTCTATAAAAAGGAACCCAAACGGTGATCGGTGAAACAAGCTCTAGCAGGACAAGAAATACTCAAACAAGAAATTTCAGCTTAAAGAAAAGAAAAAACAAATTTAATATACAATTTTAAAAAATGTTAACTTTTTCAATGTAACCAAATATAGAAAATTTTATATTATTGTTTACGTCACATAAATTTCTAACTTTAAATATATTTGAAAATACATATTTATTTTATATTATTTAGATAAATGTCTTCCACCTTTATGTGTGATGAAATATTATTCAAAAGCAACAAATAATAATAATAAATATAAAAACATAATACTACTTTACTCTAGGTAATTTAAAACTCATTTTATTTCAATCTCTCTATTTCCAAACTTCCAAACATCTCATTTTAATTTTTGTATTTTCAATTAATCAATCTTAAAATTAATTCTCGATCATGAGGTTAATTCCTATCAAATTTGTTAAAATAATAATAATAGTAATTTTCATTCGTAAAAAAAGAAACAAAATTATTTGCTTTTTTTCTTTAGTTAAATTCAACAATAATCTAATAATAAGACCTCTTGTTGGGATAATTTTTGTTTTCTTTTTTTAAATACAATATGTGAGAGGAGAATAAAAAGTTATTTTTTCTTATTAGTTATAAAAAACATAATACTATTTTAATCTAGTTAATTTGAGACTCATTTTATTTCAATCTCTAATTTTAATTTTCGTATTTTCAATTAATATAAAAATTAATTCTGGATCATGAAGTTAATTTCTATCAAATTTGTTAAAATAATAACAATAGCAATTTCATTCGTAAAAAAGAAATATTATTTGCGTTTTTTTAGTTAAATTCAACCATAATCTAACCATACGAACGATGGTTGAGATACTTTTTTTTCTTCAAATACAACACGTGGCAAAAGAGGATTCAAACTCACAACTTTTTAATTAATCATAGATATATTAGACATTATCTAGCATGAACATAATTTTTATGACTTTATTTTTCATTCATCCAAATAACAAACTAATATTTAAATTTATTATTATTATTATTAATATTATTTTGGGAAGCAAACAAAATCCAAAACTTATCTCTGTGTCGACGAGGGAGTGTGTGTGGGTACAAAAAAGACCGATTGAGGCAGACAAAATGTCCACCGGAAGATTGATCAATTCATTATCAATTTCCCAAAATAAAATTATTTATCACGCCCCACCCCTCCCCAGACTCTTCTTCAATTCCAACAATCTATTTATATATATATATATATATTTTGATATCCGTGAGTATTCGAATTACCAAACAAGTTGTTCGATTAATTTCATGGAACGACGACCTGATTCGATAATATTTGGTATCGAAAAGAATTGGGAATTAATTCTTAAGGTTGGTGACTATTATGAAATTTAAACATATTTCCTTTAAATTTACTCTTAGTCTATTTGGACCAATCAGTCGTCATCTTTGATGATTAATTTCAACTATTTATCCTTTCTTTTTTTACTTCTCGAATTTTACCCATTAAAAAATTTTAATTATATCATTCCACGTATAATAAACGGTTAAACTTTTGTCTAACAAAAAATTGATAAATCATTAAATTATTATTTTATTAACACGTTTAGTCACGTAAATATTCTATTGATGTGTTATTTAACCGTTACATTGGGCGAAATGGAAACACCGTAGCCCACAATCTAACAAGAAAAGCTTTAGAGTAGAGGACTGAGATTTTTCTCTCCATATTTGGTTACGTAACCTGACTCGAACTGAACTAAACAAGAGTTTTTAATGAAAGTATTATCACTTTTCTTAAAAAAAAAAAAATACTCTGAGGCCCAACTCACTCGTAACCAAAACTCCACCCACCAAATAAAAAAATTTATTATATTTATATATCCAAATATATTAATAAAATAATAATTAGCTCTGTATCAACAAAATTTTCGGGCAATGGATTCAATTGAGAATTCTTAACATAGGGTAAAATTGAATGCTTCTTAAGAAAAATCCGAAGATAAAGTTAGAAAGCATGTGGCATATTCAATTTAATTAAATTATTTTTTTAGTCGTGTGAGTGAGCCGCATAGTAACTTTCTCACCTAACGGTATTTATGAAATTTAAAAAAATAAAAAAGAGAAAAAAAAAAAGCCAAACGAAACGAGCATCACTGAGCTGAGCATAGGCTGTGAGGCGAAGAGAGAGCGACAGCAGTGGGGCGTCCCCAAAACTTCACATTCATTTCCCTTGCCTTCCCCTCTTCCCACTCGCCTTCCACGCGCGTCCCTTCTACGCGCCTCTATTTTAGATCTACACTATCCAATACTATGCTACAACAAAACAAATTAATCTTCCATATTCATCACCTTTTGTTTTGTTCTACCTTTTAACTCTTTTGTCATAATTTACTCTTCATCCTTTTCTCATTGTCACGTATTGATAAACCAACAAAATTGACTGGTTTGAGAAATGTTGAAGTATGAAGTCAAAAAATCTGGATGGAGTCGGTTCAAATTTTATACAAAAGAAGAAGAAGAATACTCGATAGCAAATCTTTTTTAGTGGTGTAGCATTGTATCTTCTTAACCTAAACTTTGCTATAAACTACGTGAATCTTGATTGGACACCTATTTGCTGCGACATTTTCCGACCTCGTGCGCATGCTTCCTAGTAAATCAACTACGTGGTCTCACAATCGAAGATTGTTTCAAATCAAATATGCTTCGATTTGAAGTTCTTATGATTGAGCTGTCCAAAAGGAAGATAAACCTTCTTGGTATAGGCAGTGGTTATCAATTTTTTAAGCCTTTCTTAACCATGCTTCCATGATCTCAGAATATCTCTTATTTGAATGTGGCATTAGGTTCATTCATGTACCCTCCTATTTACTTGGGTGCCACATGAGGTATTCCTAACTTGAGTTTTTCTAATCCTAGACTACACATTCAAGAGTTTTTTCTTTCCTACTATATTTGGTAACTCAAATATCATGGTTAGAAATGTAGATAACAAGTCAATAATCATCATAATTAGAAGAAGACATTATTTTTTTAAAATTAAAGTAAATTATTACCGATCAAACCTAAATAGATTCTAAATCATATATTATTAATTGAGTCCTCTTAAGCTAAAATTTTAAGTATTTTGTTTCCGTTTTGAAAATGAGTGGAATTTGGTTAAATAAGAATAAATATATTCATTCACTTGAAATTATTATACTTTAATTATGAAAATATAATGTCAATCCGAACATAACTATAACTAAATTTGTTAAGACACCTATCTCTTATAAAAAAATATATATAAATTTTTTTTTAGCATTATCTCTTTTTAATTAAATATTAAATATTAAATTCCAATTCCAATTCCAACTCCTTGTTTATATGTAATTGAAAATAATTTGTTCCCAATAAATTCGTTTTTAATTAAAAGGTAATTAACGCCTAAAATGCAGTTAGTTATTAAAGTAATTAAATGTGGCACTGTGTAACACTCGCTAACAGAAGCGCGTGGAGTAACCGAGAAGAATGTTATGGGCAGTTCACGGCCACTCTCTCTCTTACTGAAAGCTGCAGAAACAATTATGATAATTTCGCATTTCATTTTTTTTTTTCATAAAAAAATTTGATTTTTCCGTTTCTTGATTCACCTTCTGTTATCATTGTGCCCTAGATCCATGTCTTCCTTCTTCTTCAGGCCCCAGTTCACTCCATAAGCTTCAGCCTTCACTCTCTTTTTCCCTCTATCTGCATTTTTTCCCCATTTTTTCTAAGCCTTTTTCTCGCCTAGGGAACCTGAAACTGCTTCGAGGGTCATCCCTTTTGTTCATCATTAGCTTTTTGTAAGTTCAGTTGATGGTTTTATTTGTTGGGTTTTCTTCTGCGCACCTTTTGGGAGTGCAGAGATTTTCCACAGACTGCAACCGCGGTTCTGGAATGTATGTATTAATGTAATTGGGTATTTATCTGCGTCTCAATTTTGGTAGGATTCTGCAAGATTTTGGGGGTTTAGTTGCGGAAATTGCTTTGGTTTTTTGCTGCTGCAAAAGGGGGGTTGCTATTCTGGCTGAGTTGGGTTTTACTGCAATTTAATGCTGAAGGGTAATTGCAGTTGCAATGAGTTGAGTTGTGGGTGTTTTAGGTTTAATTTTTGAGCTTCTTTTGTTGAGTTTCCACGATATGGGAATGTTAGAAGAGGAGGATATATCAGTAATGAATGATTTTGAAGGGTGAATATTGATTCTGAAAGAGGATTTTGTTGGGGGTGGTTTTATTACATTATGGGTTGCGTTTGTTGTAAGCCCTCTGCTATAGAAGATAGCAAGGAGAGCCCAAGGGAGAGATTGTCAAGTAAGACCTCCTCCGACCTGCGGGTGGCAAGAGTGACTTCGTCATCGAGGGAGGAAGCTTATCGATCTAAAGATCAGCATGATGGTAATGATGCAAGAGTGGTGTTGATTGACAAGCAGGTGAATGGGTCGGGTCGACTGCAGAGTGAGAATCTTGAGAGGAAGCGAGAGAAGATGGAGTATCTGGGTGCTCAACATCCTGCAATGGGTAGAATTCCGAAGGCAGCAGAGGGGGATCACATTGCTGCAGGGTGGCCACCGTGGCTGGCTGCAGTTGCTGGAGAGGCAATCAGAGGGTGGTTACCCCGACGGGCCGATTCTTTTGAGAAATTGGATAAAGTATGCTCTTTTGATGATTTGATTTTGAATTTATGTTACTGGCCCCCTCCCAACACACACACACCCCCAGAAAAGAAAAAGGAAAGGGAAAGAAGAAAATGGACACATATACACGCCCCATCCTGAAAAAGTTGGGCATTTGATTGAAAATTTCAAGTTTTGGGAAATCTTAATATGTAATTTAGGGTTTAGATTTCAATGTTTCCATCACATCATTTATAGAAAATTATGCCGTTGGAAAATTTACTTCTTGTTTCAGTTAAAAGTGACATTTCTAATTGGGCAAGAGACGACTTATTTGTACTCATGAAATGATTTAGACGTCAAGGTGGCAGTTTTGCTAAGGAATATAGTTCCCCTAGCGTTTTCTTATAAAATGAAAGATATATAAGGTGACCCAACATGCCTTTTATTGGAGCTGTCCTCGCATTAACATCTTTTATTGGAACTGCCCTCACATTCTTTTTAGCTCAATGATGACTAATGTAGCTTGTCTTACAAGGATTGACTAAAAATTAATTTCTGCAGCAGCATATTTGTAATAATGAGAATAGGGAGCTTGAAACTTTCATAATTTGCATTAATTATTTTTTTCTAAAGGGAAACGGTAAAATATGCTGCTAAACACTTTTCTTTTAGGTTTTAAATGAATAAAATCTTAACATATGCTATGGTTAGAAATTAGATGGTCGTAGTTTTGGCGTACAGTATGTATTGCTGACTTCCTCCACTCATGCCCATTACAGCATGTTACATTCAATTGGATTCTTTTGGTATTTTTTAGTAATCCTCTAGTTGCAGTGTCCAAGAAAAAAAAAGGAACAAAATCCATATGCTTTTCTCCATTCCTTGTTCCATTACCATTGTCTTTGGGAACATGTGGAAATGGCCCCAGTGAAGAAATCTCATAATCAAGAGTGATAATATTTGGAATAAATCGAATTAAGTGCTGTTCCTTATAGCATTATAACAATCTTGTGGTATTGCCGTATTGGTCATTTAAATTTTTCGGATGATAGTTAATGTTTACATGACTACTTATGCAGATTGGCCAAGGAACTTATAGTAATGTATATAGGGCTCGTGACCTTGACCAAAAGAAAATTGTTGCTCTGAAGAAAGTAAGGTTTGACAACCTGGAACCTGAGAGTGTGCGCTTTATGGCAAGGGAAATCCACATTTTGCGAAGACTTGATCATCCGAATGTGATAAAGTTAGAAGGTCTAGTTACATCAAGGATGTCTTGCAGCCTCTATCTTGTTTTTGAGTACATGGAACATGACTTGGCTGGACTAGCTTCACACCCTGGTCTGAAGTTTACAGAATCTCAGGTAATTGCAGAATTTTAGTTTAATATAATTTATCAATGTCAAGGTTTTGCTCCTTAATGTCTAGAAGATTTAATCATTTTAAGATACTACGTTTGCATTCTTTCAGTTCACTTAGTAATATTTGAATCACTGATGCTTGAAGTTTAATTTATCTTGGGTCAGGTCAAATGTTACATGCAACAACTTTTACGTGGCCTTGATCATTGCCACAGTCATGGAGTTCTACACCGTGATATAAAGGGCTCCAATCTTTTGATTGACAATAATGGCATTTTGAAAATTGCAGACTTTGGTCTAGCAAGTTTTTTTGATATCCACCAAAATCAGCCACTGACAAGCCGGGTTGTAACTCTTTGGTATCGACCACCTGAGCTTTTACTTGGTGCCACGTATTATGGTACAGCTGTAGATTTGTGGAGCACTGGCTGCATACTCGCTGAATTGTATGCTGGCAAGCCCATTATGCCAGGAAGAACAGAGGTATATTATTTTAAGCTGAGTTCTTTGAATATGTAGGTTGAACCACCTAGCTGATTGTTATCTTATGAGATCATGTTTATTCAATAATTTATTTCTGGTTCCTGACTTTATAATACAACTCAAGTCAGTTTATAGCAATTTATCTAACAATCATATCCAAACAAGTTATAAGCTTTTTGGACTGCATCATCTCATTTAGGGATTAGTTCCTGTCAAAAACTATTGAAACAAGATTTGAACTTTGTTGCTTTGACAATCTAATATTCTTTAGCTTGAGCTCGTGTAGATTAGATGCCCATCCCTTTTTTTTTTATAAGATTAGATGGGCATCTTATTTGACTACCTTTTGTTAATTGTTACTATGTTGTTTTTGCCAACATTGTAAATACTCAAGTAGCTGTGTTTTTCCTTGTCATAAAGTGTACCAATCAGAAGTTGCACTCTTTTTTTATGTTTCTATCTCATGTTAGCTGTCATGATTTCCTAGCATTATGGTTATAAGGTTAATGTTAAAACTTGATTTATATGTTGTAGGTGGAACAGCTACATAAAATATTTAAGCTATGTGGCTCACCATCAGAGGATTATTGGAGAAAATCAAGGTTGCCACATGCGACCATATTTAAGCCCCAACAGCCCTATAGGCGCTGTGTTGCAGACACATTTAAGGATTTCCCTGCACCAGCTTTAGCTCTTATTGAGACGTTACTCTCTATAGATCCTGCTGATCGTGGGTCTGCTGCTCTTGCCCTTAAAAGCGAAGTATGTTGTGTTGGATGATTTAATTTTTCTTATAGGACTGTTATAGTAGAGTATCCAATTTCCATCTATTCCATATGGTTTTATTCTCTATATGAAAATTTTATTTTTTTTGGGGAATATTATGAAGGTGCATTGATCTCACGGTCTTATTTAATAGCCCATCGTTTTTCTTCCTCCATGAGTACTTTATTTTTTGTGGAGCACAAGCTCCATCAGTGTTTGTGGTGTCTTTCCTGTTCTTTGGATCTAGATACTACAATTTGTTTATGTTCCTGACTATTTTGGTTTATACATTTCAGTTCTTTTCAACAAAGCCACTTCCGTGTGATCCTTCTAGCTTGCCGAAGTATCCTCCCAGCAAAGAATTTGATGCTAAGATAAGGGATGAGGAGGCCAGAAGGTATTTGATATGCTACAAAAATATATTAAAATTTAGCATTTATTTTTATCTTGGCTGAAGAAGAGTATCAGTTCCTTTCCTTACTGGAATCTTATAAATAAATATATTTTTAGTATGATATTCTTTATGCATCTTGAGAAAAAGAAAGCTTAGTGTTGGTTAGTTCTCAACATCACCAATGGTTACCTGTACCATTATAAATCTTATCAACTTTTCTCCCTTTGCTGAAGAGTATCAAGTCCTATCAAGTCTGTTGCCTTACTAAAACCTTATAAGGAATTATCCTTTATTTTTTTCCTTTTTCTTTGTAATGTTTGAAATTCTTTATGCTTCCGGAATAGATTAAACTTAGTGGTTACTTTTCAACATCACTTCAAGATTCTGGTACTAGTAGGTACACAAGCCGAAACCATGAAAAGGGACTTGGTTTGGATATATTTTGAAGTTCATATGTTGGTTGGTTTGGTTTCCTAAAGTACAAAACTAGAAAATAGTTTATCAGTTTGTTTTCCTAAAGTATAAAACTCGAAAATAGTTACCTCTTTGGTTTGGATGTATTTAGTTGGTTTTTGGGGGAGAAGCCTGAACCCACCTTCTCACACCCTACATACTATTAGAAATTATACTGATTTTTTCTCTCTTGGCTGATGAGTATTGAGTTCCTTTCTAAAATTTCAAGAGTTATATATGTTATTCCCAAAATGTTATAGATTCTACGTACCTCCTGGAAAAAGTTAAACTCAGGAATTTTAAATTTCACCTGGAGGTACTGTCCATATAGATCTCAGACTGCACTTTGTCCTTGTTTCCCGTCGTTCTATCAGACTTGCATCATGAGAACAATTTATGTGGTTTCTAAACAACTTCCCTTGATTAATTTGGTAGACAAGGAGCAGTTGGAAGCAAGGGACATCGACTAGACCTCCAAAGGAAAGATAGAGAGTCTCGAGCCGTCCCTGCACCAGATGCCAATGCTGAGTTAGCCTCGTCAATGCAGGTAACATTCTGTTAAAAGTTCTTTCTTGAGGTGTTGCAATCTAACTGGGGAGCTCAACTATTGTATGACTAATGAATCCTGTTAGTTTTGCCAGTTGACTCTCGTGCACTTTATGTTTCTCTTATATTGTATCCTTACGGACATCTTAAGAACTTTTTTTTAACCCTTCCCTTGAGGAGCCGAGCTGCTTATCTTCTCCTTGAGGCACTTAGCCCAGTGGTATTATTGATCTTGATCAATCATATTCGTTACTATTTTCAAAATGTGCAGAAGCGGCTGCATTGCTGTCGTTTTGTGTTCTCATATTTTGGTTAGATATTCATCTTTTAACCAAAACTGGATATCTTTTATCGGATTCCCAGTCACCAGTTATGGTTTCTTCCTCCAGTGAGGAAGCATAACATACTCCCTCTCGAGTAACATCACATTATCTGAAGTCTGTCTAACCGCTCTATTTTTTGTTGACATGTTTTGATAATAAGATTACTGATTGCAGAAAAGACAAGGCCAGTCAAATTCGAAGAGCCGGAGCGAGAAGTTTAACCCACATCCCGAAGAAGCATCTGGCTTCCCAATTGATCCACCTAGACCTTCACAAGGAGCAGATGTAAGACTGGATTCTCAGGGGCGTCATCCCAAGAAAGCCTCACATTCAGGGCCACTTGCTCAGCGGGCTGCTTGGGCAAAGGCCAGTAAGAACCCAGATGATGCTCCAAAAATCTCAACCGGGGCCGACTCTTTCACAACTACAGGACTAGTAGCAGCTAGAAGAAGTATGCTGGCAGAAGATTGCAGGGAAAAATCTGACTCTTCACAAGGAGAGGTTCAAAAACTAATCGGCAGGTTTCCCGGTTCCTTCAAAGAAACCTCAGAGTCGTCGATGGTACCAGATCAGAAGTTCTCAAATCATAGTATTGTAGGCTCACACGACAAAGAAAGGAGCAGCACCAAAGACCCTATTCTTGTAAGTATGGCAACTACGACGCCTTCAAGCGCATTTTGGTTTTTTTGAAACTAAGATTGTAAAATATCGGCCAGTAAATGTGAGCTATATGCTTTTACAACTGTTTTCTGAGTATCTGTTCATGTGTACATGATATCAATACCACAGGTAGGTTATGGCTCAAAGGGTCATAAGATTCATTACTCTGGTCCATTGCTGGTTCCTTCTGGCAACATGGACCAAATGTTGAAGGACCACGATCGTCATATCCAAGAAGCCGTAAGACGGGCTCGGCTTGACAAAGCTAAGGGACGGAAAGTTCAAGCTGACGGGAAACAGATGTCAACAAATTCATTATTCGTATCTGGTCGTTAAGCGGGGCGATGGGTAGATATCCAAAAGACAGCAAATGGTAGAGTTCATTGTTAGGGTAAGCTGATATTACTTCAGAAATGTGATCAAATGATTGGCTGGTGGTGGTCTTGTACTTGTACAGGGAAGTCTTCCTAAGAAATATCGGGTCGGGTCGCGACTATTTTTAGCTCTAGTATTTTTTTTACTACGAAAAAAAGGGGGAAAAAACTTCCTCCCTTCTCGCACTCGAGCGTAAGGGTAACACGTGTAACTTGGTTGCAAATGATGTAGGGTCTAAATATTTTGGCCATTGTAGAGAATTTGTATTTGAATATTGGCCTTAGGCTGTATAGTTAAAGTGGATATGACATTGTTTTTGTTTCATTATCTAGAGAATTGTTGGACCAAAGAAGGAGATGTTTACTCCTACATTTTCTTATTGGCAGGCAGAGGCAGGCCTTATTTAGTATTACCTCTTCAAATTCAAATCCCCTCTTTTAGCCATTACTTTGTTCTTAGCATGCAACTATGATGGTCTAGTCCTCAGAGAATCAGGCTGCAGATGCTGACTTTTCTTGTTCATGAGTTCAAATTATGGTCATCGTTTCAAACGTATAGTTGTCTTTTGAAATTAGTCGAACTATGTGATTTCAACTGATTTTTTTGGCAGCTCCAACTAATTTGATAACTTCAAACATTGTTAGATTGAAAAGGTCGTCCAAGAATTTGTTATTGTAACTATTTTTAACCATACAAGTTTATGCTTTAAAATGAAAAGGCAAAAGAGAATTATAGCAAATATTGAAGTATTTGCCTCCATATATTTTATTTTATAGACATTAGGATTCTGAGGGTAGGTCTAAATGTAACACATAAATAAATGAAACATGATAGATTCATAGGTGTGGCAAGACCCATCACCTTTGGAATAATTTGCTATAATTTCAAAATAAAATATGTCATAGTCAACCCTTAATATGATTTTCCACCAATAGTTTTTTAATGAAAAGTTGAAAGTGGAATCAGATATTCCACAAATACAAAAAGTCAACACTGCCATAATAATAACCCAATTTGGCTTATCTTCCAATTCTTTTTCCTTGTTTTTGGATTGAGTCAATGTTAGGTCCATTTCACTTCCACAAAATTGATCAACAAATTAATGGACAATATGACAGTGTCCTTTTTTTCTTCCTTGAGAAATAGTCAATTCAGATTTGAATGTTTAATAAATTTATCATACCCATTTAATTCCTTAGTTGAATTCTTCCTAATAACTAGAGTTCATTTATGATGGCAAAATGGACCATGAAAAAAAGATGAACTAATATGTAAATATTTACTGTAAAGAAGTCACGTGGGACGATCTCGACATCGAGAGTGAGAAGTAGCAAATGGCCTTGAATCGAGTGGTTAGAGGTTTTATTTATTTAACTCTTTTCCCATTCAACGTACAAAGGGCAGCTTGGTCAACAAACTGAAAATTCATGAAGAAATACAACATCTAAATAAGCTCAAAATGAAAATGAGAGATTAAAAAAATTTGCAACATTTATAAGAATATTGTGGGATGAAGTTTTTGTGTAAATAATAGAACTCGGTAACTTTGGTTAATAAGCTCCAACGATCCCAACCTGTGGAAAAATGCATTTATGCTAATATTTGCACTAACCTTCTTCAGATTATAATGGATATTGTAGCCATGGTTTGTATATCTCCTTCCCTGCATTTTAGCAATGGACTGCGTTTTTTGAGTTGATGGACGAACCCGGGATTTAACGTTCTCCTCCTCCGCCTCCGGCTTCCTCGAATGTGTAGTTCGAGTCTTATTGCAAGAAACTCGGACAAGAATCATTTACACTGGTTTTCCCCAGACTTAGCTGCCAAAACAAGTCTAGCTACAAGACGGTGAAGCCGTTGAGCTCCTTCGCCTGGCTTGAGTTTCATCGGATTACCGACTGTGGAACACTTGGGGTGGCCTGCGCACCAACCACCAGGAGTGAAGCCCCCTTTCTTCCGACGAAGCAAATCCTTGTCAATCTGGTCTAGCACAGGATCGTCGTGTTTGAACTTCCGAGCAAAGGCAGCATTGCTTGTGATCATCTTCTCCGTGTCGTTAAGAGAAAGTATGTGTGGATGCTGTTGGGGGGGGAAGTCCCAAGAGATGTAATGCAAGTCGTGGTTCACAGCCGTGGTAGCAAACTCGGGCACGTTGCATATGACCGTGTGGAAGTAACCTTCGGGCGACGAAACGAAATTAGTGTAGTACATGAGAAGGGTCCTTGGAAGATTATCCCAACCCCAAACCAAGTATTCCACAAACGCACGAGACAGGACCATCCATGCCGAACCTGCAGAAGGAGAGGCATGTTATCCAATTGTTCCAAAAAATTAGACCATGCAGGCCCATCCATCACAATGTATCTCCTTTAACAAGTAAATTTTAACATTTGGAACATGTTCATATTTTTCTTCTAACCAGGATTATCTGCATAATGAATGTTCAAACATTACAGAATCTCGAAAGATTCAATCTTCCCACAAAACTGAATATACTCAACTAGTTCTCTTGATGAGGAAAAGGGTCCTACCAAGTAAAAGACTAGTTCAAACTCCACTGCAAGTCAATGATCTCAATGCATTTTCAAAGTCATAACCATTTATTTTTCATTAAGATCAGAAGAATTTTCGATTCGGTCCCTTGGAAGATGATTATTTCTCGGTCAGACATTTCGACAAACAACATAGTTAACTGCAGAGCAGATTAGCTACTGTAGGGAAAAAGAACAGAGGTCTATTGAGGAATACGAACCAGTAAATAATTTAAACGCTGTTGGCAAAGTTCGCGATGGATTGACATTATATATGTCTGATTTGTTCGACATGTATAAACCAGGATCTACGATCAATGGCATTGCTCGCTTATCCCTGTAAAATACAATAAAAAAAACGACTATAAGTATATGCGATAAAATAAAGACAAGTACAAGGGAGACGAGAGAATAATATACTAACTCTTTCCACCCCAACTGGCTTGTGTGCTCAATAAAATTTAGGTTTCGATCTAAATCCGAGAACGTGTAAATAAGATCTGCAATGCAAAATCAATGAAAATTGGATTAAATGAAATAAATTGGATACAAATTTACAAGTTAAATGAAATGGACAAACCATCTTGAGTCAGAAGAGGATAATCAGAGGCACTGAGGTTGATAAACCAATCCCAGTCCTTACTCCTCTTAAGAAGAATGGCACAGGCATGAAGAGTATTAGCAACCATGGTGGGTCCCCTGTAAGTAACCATGTTGGCCTTGGTGATCACAAAAACATTCTGGACTTCAGCAAAAAGGGACTCATTCGCCACTCGGGAAGCCAATTCCAATCGTTCCTCGGCCGGTGATTCGAGGTCCAAGTGGACAACATATTGATTCAAAGGATGATACACTGCTTTAAGGACTCTCCATAGCTTTTCCAGATCACCTTTTGACCCAGAAATCAAATAACCAAAACGGGGACTTGGCGGTGGAGAAGGAGGTGAAGGTTGTACAATCTTTAATTCAGCAAAAACTCCAGTGTCATTTGTAGATATTCGAGCAGGAAAGATTGCGAAAAGCGAATTGATTGTGTAAAGTGAGGAGACAAGACCCATGTTGAATAAGGTGACAAAAAGGAATATGCATATAAGAGAGCTTATAACAAGAGGAAATAGCCATTTCTTCTCCAAGTTCAAGGACCCCATCACAAGATCTTATCATGGATCGATATCAACTCAGGTTTCTGTTCATCATTCTCCACGGCAGGGACTTGATGATTGCTCGATTCCGATAGGATCAAGGCACCAAATGACAACCCCAAGTTGTTCAAATTTGGACCAAGACCCTTAAAAAAATAGAACAAGTCAATAATTTATACCTCACACAAGGTTGCTGAACATTAACAAATATAAAAATGCCTCAAGTCTGCAAACTTTTTATATTGACAGTGAACAATAACCTCAAGCTTTGCGTGAACTACTAGCTCAAATATTTTAAAGGGAAAAAAAAACACAGCCAAAAAGTTCCGAGTTATATATCAAAACTTTGGTAAGAATTAGGAATTTGCTAATTATATAAAAATAAGATATAACTTAAGAAGCATACAAGAATGGGAAAATAAATCACATCCATGGAAAACTAAATGTATGGGTCACCAGACAAAGCCAATGGTGATATTTAAACTCAAGAGATAGTTAGGCAGAAACCCTAATCTGTACATTCTAAATCAGGCAAGAAATTGATGATGAAGATGGAATGGAAGACAACTTGTCCATTACTGGGAAAGCCATGGGAAAACACTCTGAAACAGCCAAATGCCATAGAATTCTCTCAAAACAAACGCAACCCAGATGAGCAGATCCTCAAATCATTCAACAGAAAACCAAACCATGAGGAAAAAACATCACAGAAATTCAAACAAAACCATAAATAAGAAGAGGGAACAATACAATTAGTCCAATTCGTCCAATTAGTCCAATTTGTCCAATACCCAGAAGGGGAAAATCAGAGGGGAGGATATAATTCGAATAACCCAGAAGACAAAAGCAATATAAAAGGACGAAAGCCGTCCGAAAATGAAATGGGGGAAGGAGAATACGTACAACACAAGGAAGAAACAAGGAGAAACGCAACAAGAATGAAGAGAGAGAGAGAGGGAGAGAAACCTGCCGTTGTTTATGCTTGGTGCAGAGCAATGGCGTTGGTGGAGGTTGAAAAAGAAAGAGGGAATTAAATAAGAGGGAATGGATTTAGAGAGAGAAAGAGAGAGATGACATTGAAATGGGAAGAGAAGGGAGCTTTTTTTGGGCAAAAGGGGAAGATGGAGGACAAGTGTTTATATCAGAGGCTCTTTGGTTTCTTTGGGGTTTGGATTTCTTTCGCTAAGTTTGGGAATTTCTCTCGTTTCTGCCTAATATTCTTCCCCAATTTCCTCGCTCGCATTCAACTTATCTCATAAGCTTTGCCTCGTTTCCACTTTCAAAGAGCCGCGGAATATTGGGGACTGTCTCAAACTTCTTGTAGAAAAATCATTTCTATTTCTCAAGAGCCATGACGATTTTCATCCCTACAATTTACCCGAGTTTTAATAGTTTTTTTTTTCTTTTTTCTTTCTTTTTCTGAGGTTGTGATAGGTTTTTAATTTAGTATTTACCCTTTGAAGTTTGAGTTTGAAAGAAACAAAATTATTATATGAACTATTTCGTTGTCGATGATAGTTAATTGCTCGTGACTATATGTGTGTTAAAAATCCGGAAAATATTGGGTTGAAGTATATGTTCAAGAGTTGTTGGCCCGATCATAGCTCAATGATTAAGTATATGGATTTTTTCTTAAGATTGAAGGTTTGATTATCCATTCTCTTATTTGTTTAACGAAAAATAAGTGTGTTCAATAGTTAAAGACAAATGAATGAGTAAAATGATCGAAAAAACAACTAAGATCACCTTTATATTCTAAATTTTAGCCGCAAAAATTGAATCTAGAACTTATTGGAATTTAATTAGGAGTGTTAACTATTACGGTTAATTTTTTGGTCAAAACGAACATGGATAAACCGTAATTGACAATGATATATATCCCCAACTAAGAGGTTGTGAGTTCGATAAAAAAAAAAACATAACTCAACGGTATACAACATTAATATATATATATATATATATATATATATATATATTTAGAGACCGAATTATAAAGAGGTAAATTGTAGGAACTAAAACTGTGTCCTCGTCAAAAGAAAAAAAAAATAGTGAAAAACTATATCTCTAATCACACAGTAATCTTAACTTTCAACATAACATCTATGAGTAATTTTATCATAATTTTTTTTTTCTGAAAAAAATTAAATAGGTATACAAAATAAGCATTAAATATTTTTTGGGTGAAATTTCAAAATTATCTCTTTTAAGATTGGTTAAATTAAACCATTACTATCTAGAGAGGATGAGGTTGATTATATTATTTAATTTCTAAATATTAGAAAAGTTTTATTTAATTATATATCTATTTGTTATCTATTGATTAATATTAACTAATTATTAATTTTACATTAATAAATGTTGGTGGACTTAACCTAAAATTAAAAGAAGTGAATAGTTAGGACATAACTAATTCGTTCGTCCTAATAATACTTCATTTGCTACCATCTACTTGAAATTGTATTTTAAAAATTATAATAGAAAAAAAAGTACAAATTATTTTTCAAGATTCACCTCAAGAAGAAAACCTTTTGTCAAATAACAATAAAATTAATTACCTTTGCAAAAAATAATACATATGTGTATATATATAAAAAATAAAATAAATTAAATATTTGAAACTAATTAGATGGTTGGGAATAAAGTATGAAATAATTAATTAAAAAAATAATATTTAGATACTCACTGCCTCTCCACCACCGTTAAATTTATGATAAATATGAGAGAACTCATTCGAAAAGAATATTTATTTTTGTTTTAAAAAAATTTAAGGTCATTTAGTTGACAGATCTGTTTCTTGTTTTCAGATTTGATTTAGTGAATATTCATTTACCATATTTGTTTTTCTAAAACTGTTTTGAGATTCTAATTATGAGACCATACGAGTGGGTTTCCAGATTTTGAATTTAATTTTTTTAAGAATTATTCTAAGATAAAAATTTTAATGAAGATATTATTTCGTGTTATAAACTCAATTTATTTTGTTAAAATTAAAATAGGTAAAATATAATATATTATAAATTATAGAATATTGTAAAATAATAGTTGTACAAAATTTATAACAAAAACATTAATAAATTAATTAAATATTATTTTAGATGGAACGAAATATTTAGCTGACAAACAAATATATTACTAAACATAAATTTAACCATTTTTTAATTAATTGAGATTCGATTTTTAAATATAGTACCAAACACATATCTGAAAACAATAAAAATAAACATGAGGGCGAGAGTCCACCAAATCGAGGCCCCCCGACACTAGCATAGACATTTTATTAAAACGCATTCGCGGGTCGTTTGATGTTTTAGGCATAGACAATGATCCTTCCGCAGGTTCACCTACGAAAACCTTATTACGATATCTCCTTCCTCTAAATGATAATGTTCAGTAGACTTCTCGAGACGTGGCGGGTAGTACTCTATTTTTATTGAATATCTTATTTTCAAATTTCTATTTCTAGACTCAACCAAATACACACTAAAAAATTGTCAAAAATTTTATTGGGGATCAAAAAGACGGGTTGATTTAGTTAAAATGGGAAATTTTTGACTTGTAACATGTCTCTATCAAATTCAATTATCATGATTGCATTATTCCACGTATTCAATGTTTGGGTTCTAAGTTTTGATTTTTCTCCCCTTAGTCAAATATCATAATTAATTTTTTTCATATTGGATTAGATGAGATATTCCAACTCACGATATAGTTATTTTAACTCGCTGAGCTATGTTCAGGTAGGCAAATATCATATTTATTTGAAATTAATTACTTGTATAACATAAATTTTACTATTCTCATAAATATGTGATTTTTTTGTTTGGAAATATTTTAAATTTTCTTTCCCCACATTGATATAAATAAATATATCATCGAAGTTCAATGACTTACAAGATAGAATAAATCATCAAAATTGATCCAGTTGTTCTTGAAACTTATTGTCAAAGTCTAATTATAATATATAGAAATTTAAATTCGTGGTTGTTAAAAGAATATGGCAATCTTTTATTTTAAAAATAGGGTAAATATATAATTTTTGGCCTCGAAGTTTGCTCTATTTTTTAATTTGATCCCCAATATTTTAAAGTTCCAATATTTTACTTTTCAAGGTATAAAATGTTCTTAATAAAGTAGGTCAAAATTTATCCTAGTATTTTCCATCAATTGGAAAAATTTATCTTTGGAAAGTTATATACTCATCCCCATGTTACCCAATTAGAAAAATTTCATGTTCTTGATTTTGTATTAAATATCCCCCATAACCTATCTTTTTTTCATCACCATGAGCCTGATTATATTTTTTAGTTTCTAAATATTTTTTTTTTACTCCATCCTAAAACTTTGAACTATAATTTTATTTACTATCTATCCTGATATTATTTAACCAATTGTTTCTTTTTTTTATGTCCCTTATTTAACCAATTGTTAATTCACATATTTATTAGATAAATGTTGATTGATTAGACATAAAATAGAAAGAAGTGAATAGTTGGAATTTAAATAATTCATTTCTTCGTTCGAATTCCCGCATTCACTGTTGTATTAGAAAAAGGAAAAAAGAAAAAAGAAAACTAATTCGTTTGTCCTATATTAAAAAAAAATAGTGATACTTCGTTTACCCAATCCATCTACGATCTACGTGAATTGTAATTATAAATTTACAAATTATTAGAGGAAAAAAAGTCCATTTTTTTTCTTTTTAAAATTTAACCTCGAGAAGAGAACGTCCGTTAAATACCGAACATAGAATAAAATTAATTAAATATTTGGAAATAAATATGAAAATTATTGATTTTGAGTAAAAAATAATATTTAGATATTTATACACCAACATCTCTCTTTTACGGATCACTTGATTAAAAATAGGAGAGATTGAATGGATAAAATAATATATATATTTTTCTTTATCTTTCAAAAATTAAAAACTGTTAATTTTTTAGTAGCGGTAAAAAAATCGATTAATCTCATCGATAAATATATAAATAAGATTTTTTAATTAAATTGGGAATTTTGACTTGTAACATGTCCCTATCAAATTCAATGTCATGGTTGCTCTTTTGTATTCAGCCATCATGCTTTTCTTCCACGTATTCAATGTTTTGGTTTTTAAGTTTTGAGTTTTTATTTATTTATTTATTATTATATTTTTTTTAGGGATGAGTTTTGATTATTTTCTCCGTAATCAAATATCATAATTATTTATTGTTGAATTTTGCTTCCTTTACCATAGGGTATTCTTTGCTTGTATAAATTAATTTGTACCATTCTCATAAATAAGCATGTGTTTTTTCTTTTTTTTTTTTCCTAGAAATATCTTAATTTTCTTACATCTAATTGATATAAAAAATGAAAAATATCATCGAAGTTTATTAATTCACCAACTGGAATAAATTGCCAAAATTGATCGGCCCAATCATCCTTAAAGTTTATTGTCAAAGTTTAATCACAGAATATATGGACCAAATTTGACCTACAAGTTTGCTCTATTTTTAAATTTGATCTCCAATGTCTTTGAAGTTGTAATTTTACTTTTCGAGGTATAAAATTTTTTCAATGAAGTTCTTAATCACGTTATTACAATTGAAAAATCGTTGCGCGATATGACATTTACAAAATTATTTTCTATCAATTGACATTTTTGGAATGTTATACACTCATCCTTCATGTTACCCAATTAGAAAATTTCAAGTGCTCCCATCCAATTAAAAACATAAAGCTTCGTTGACACTAGATTTTCGAAGAAAAATTTAATTCGCAAAGGTGACTTTGAATTTTGTATTAAGTTTGTGTAATATGTACAAGTTCTCATGTTTACTCCTACGTGAATTTGGTTGGAATGCTTATTCTTGAATCAAACTGTTTGGAGCCTTTGACTTCTAATTTGTTAAAAGGCATTCGACTTCTAGCTTATAGATTTTCTTGTAGATTAACCTCTTGCCTTGTGATATCTTTTGATCTACCTTTTGACTTGTTTGAATTATTTTCTTTATAGCTTGTTAATCGACCGCTTCAAAATAATGATCATCCTAGTTTGTTGATCTCTTTGGATCAGTTTCGTCGATTTCTTTGGATCAAGTTCGTCGATCTCTTTAGAGCAATATTTTGGACATATCGACCTCTTTAGATCATATCAATTGGTGTCTTGAAGTTTTGTACGCTCCAAGTATATTAATTTTATATTTAGTTAGTTTTTGATATTCAAAGTCTTGGTACTCAGAGTCTTTGAACTTCAAAAAGTCTCTGAATTATTTAACTTCTGGACCTTTGAAATAAATAAAGGGTG